CATCATGTTGCTAACTATATAACCACAAAATAGAATTATGGATTTTTAGGATTGGAAAGGATATTCCAAATCATCTAATCTAATCTTACATCCTATCACATTCCCTTTGTTTACCCAGATTTGCCTGAATGCTTGTGCAATGCTTACCTCCCCTCACGAGATGCTCAGAGAATTAGAGAACTGGAAGAGATTTTAGGAAACTGAGGGCTGGAAAAGCTAAATGACTTTACCAGTGAGGTGTAGTTGAGTGCAGAATACAAATTAACATTCTAGTCCCATACACTTTCCACTCCCTATGCTTTTTGCCTTTATCAAAACTATATGAGTGAGGAAATTGGAACCCTCATACACCACTGGTGGAAATGTAAAATGGTGCAGACACTTTGAAAAACAGTTTGGCAGATTCTCAAAAAGTTAAACATAGAGTTACTATACGACCCAGGAATTCCACTCCTGGGTATATACCCAAAAGAAATAAAAACATATGTCTACACAAAACTTGTACACAAATGTTCATAGCAGCATTATTTATAAGAGCCAAAAAGTGGAAACAACCGAAATGTCCATCAACATTTGATGACTGGATAAATAAATAAAACAGATAAATAAAATAAAATATCTATTCTATGGAATGTTATTCAGCAATAAAAAGGAATAAAGTAGTGATACATGCTACAATATGGATGAATCTCAAAAACATGCTATGTGAAAGAAGCCAGTAACCAAAGACCACATATTGTATGATTTCATTGATATGAAATGTCCAAAATGGACAAATCTATAGACAGAAAGTAAAATTGTGGTTTCCAGGGACTAGGGGGCGGGGGGAATGGGGAGGACCTACTAATAAATACGAGTTTCTTTCGTGGGGGATGAAAATGTTCTAAAATTAGATTATAGTGACGGCAGTAACATAACTATTGAGTTGTACACTTTAAATGAGTGAATTATATGGTATATGAATTATATCTCAATAAAGCTACTTTTAAAATGAATAAACAAAGAACTAGTTATGGCCTTTAAAACACAACAACAACAACTTTATGTAAAGGATTTAAAACATGTTGACAAATTCCTTGACAATCCTCCCATCAAGAAGTCCCCTCCCCTTGGACGTGGTTGGACTTTTGTGATTGCCTCAACCAGCAGAATACGGCAGAAGTAACACTATGTCACTTAAGAGGCTAGTTAGAAAAAGCCATGCAGCTTCTGCTGGTCTCTCTTAGGACACTTACCCTTGGCACCCAGCCATCACGCTGTGAGGAAGCCTGGGCTACATGAAGAGGCCCGGCCCTCAGTCCCAGGCGAAAGCCAGCATCAACTCGCCAGCCGGCTCTGTGATTAAGCCATATTGAAAGCAGAACCCCCAGCTCCAGTCAAGCTGCCGCAGCTGATGCCACACAGAGCAGAGAGCCAACTCTGCTAAGCCCTACACAAATTGCAGAGTTGTGAACAAAATAAGTACTTGCCACTATTCCAAGCCATTACGTTTTGGGGTGGTTTGGTGCACAGCAATGGACAAGGAGAATACCTTATGTACTTAAAAGGCTAAAAACAGTATCTAGCCCCCTACTGAATGCAGACACTTCTTTCTAGTAGGTCACCATCCAACTTCTGTCTGAATGTTCTGACTAACATGGAAATCAGTTTCTCACAAAGCCACCCCTTCCACTGATGAACAACTCTGGGAATTATGATCTGCCTTATATTCAGACTGGTTCTGTCCTGCCCAATCTCTGGTCCGAGTTCTATCCTCAGTGGTAACATTACCGTCTAACCTCTCTTCCTCAGCACAGGCCTTTACCTTATTAAATAGTAGAGAAATCTTTAGTACTGTCTGATTTTATAGCCAAGGAACCTGAAACGTACAACTTTATCCAAAGTTACACAACAGACGCTGAATAAAATGCAGTTACTTGAATCTCTGATATAAGGGTTTTGTTTAGTATTATTTCTATCGAATATGAGACAAATGTAATGGACACAGGATGTGTTGTCCATACACAAAATCACAATTTTCATACTTAAGTCATTATTGTTTAGAAGACTAATCCTCATTTCTATCACGTAGGAGAAGGAGTATTGGTATGAATAACTGGAAAATGAAAACTACTTATCTGTAGCACTCATCTTCCCCTTGTTTGTACTTAAATATTTCCCGTTTTAACTCAACAAAGCCAGCCAGCCCTTCGAAGGCAGGGATAATTCTTATAATTTTGAGTCTTCCTTGGTGTTTGAGTACATATATACTGAATAATTTGCCTAGCTATGAGAGACAGCATACAGATAACAAGGATAAAAGCATTTCCTTCCAAATGATTTAAACACAGATCTTACAAACCAAAAATATTTCTCATCATGTCAATGTAGTAATTGTACAGTAAACTTTTTTCTTTTTCAAAGTCAACAGCAATAGAAAATGAGCTTCTCACACTGTTGATTACAGTATATCAGTTGCCATGACAACACTTAGTCTCCAAACATTCTTTCTAATTGAGACAATTTCTCCTAGCTTCAGTCCCCTAAGACTGACACAATTACACAATTCAAAACCCAAAACCCAGAGGGTGCCTCTCCATAAAGATACTCGCATTACACAACCTAAGCAAAAGTTTAAACACCACTTTTCCAAGTTGCAAGGAAACTTTTCAGGCAACAAATTTTGTTTTTACACCTAAAGTCTTCTAAGTTGAATAGTAATTGTCTGATATAACTTTAAAATTGTATATGCTGTACTCCATGATCACATTACAGAAGCCTAAACTTTTAATACAAACCTTTCTGTTAATATACATGCAATATATCTCATTTATGTTCTCTGGGCTGTATTTGCATTCTATTCCTTTTAAGATACAATTAAAATCTTCTAGGAGCAAACAAGTATCAGTAAAAGTATCATTGGACTAATACAGAACATTTGTACGCTAGCCCAAATCAGCCTCATGAGAGGTAAGGAACTAGAAAAAAAATCTTTAAAATCATATAAAATTTAGCAGGCTGTCATAAATGAGGCACCCTAGTAATTCCAAAAGAAAAATAAAAATTCCAAAAAGAAAAAACAATGTTGGGAAATGTGGTATCTCCGTTGTCTCAAAATGTAAGCTGGTAATTCTCTTTCTCTAATAGTCCAAAATACTTTTAAACTGGGTTGTTTTCAGAATATAATGCTCATTTACTTAGAAAAATTTTGATGAGTTGAGTTGATCAAGATTTTAACTTTTACTATACACATACCCAGAAGCATAAACTTATTTTATATTTCCAGTAATATCTCTGATACCTCTACAACTACAGTATCTAGCAGTGTTCCCCAAAAATGTTCCCTGTAAGCTCAAAACAATGTCTACAATTGAAAGTTTACCATATGCTCATGGGGAGTGAGGGAGCTTAGATGTTGGTGTCCACTATTCTATTTTTCAATGTGTTTACTTAGCCAAAGAGCAAAAGAAAAAAAATCACAGAACACATCCATTTATCTAAAAGCAGAAAGAATAACATGTGAGATCCCAATTAACCCAAGCATTACGTTAATAAAGGTTAAGTGTAAGGCAATTTATTATGAAGTAATGGGTCAGAGGGCAACCAAGACTACTCTAAATAAAAAATAAAAGCACTTTAGTTTTAGCCTATGATTTCAAAACAAGAAGCTAAAATAAAAATAAAACACACAACCTTCTCTATGGCAGACAGTTAAGCTTAAAGAACACAGAAATACCAAGGATGAGGAAATGAATCTTTTCAAAACTGTCCACCAAATGACGTTAAATGATAGGTGCAATCTTCTTGTGTGACAGAAAGCACAGTACTTTCCATTCCTACATTATAAAATGTTGCTATCAAGTATGGATAAGAGATAATAAATATACCATGCAACCCAAGAAGGATCTGAGAAACAGGGGCAGAAAGATGGGGCTGAGAAGTGTCCAATTTATTAAATCTGACACTGGGAGAACCGAGTTTACATGAATAAATGTTGCTGGGGATTAGAAATCACACAGGAAGATCTATGAAATCAAAACATTAATAAGAAATTTACTATAAAGTATTCATGGATAAAGATATGTTGCATTAAGCAAGGAGTTAACTGTTCATAACACTCATTAAAAAAACCTCATTTGGTTTTGAAGACAAAAATAATTGATAAGTCTATCAAAGTACTTTACTAAACACAAATGGAGAACTATGTAGAAAGAGGAAGCATTACGAAATTTATGACTATGTGTTTTGTGCAAGACTAGTGGACATTTTCAAACCTTTTTTGTTTCTGGCTACATGTAAAAGTAAAAATAAGAGCGTTTTCATTCATTTACAGCAATAGTTAAATATTGCCCGGTTTATGCTGGTTATTTTCACTTTACAGTCTTAAGAGCCATTCCAAGGCTGATTTGATTTTCATTATTCCTTTTGGGTAACTGGAAGAGGAGGGAAAGCAAAGCAGTATGTTCAACAGTCCACTTCGTAATTGAGAAAATTCAGCAGTGGATATACCATTAGGCACCAAAGAGATTTACTGGCTAGGGCAGACAAAAGAGAAAACAGCCACGGAAAGAACAGAAGCCGTGAAAGAGATGACAATCAGTCCCAAGTGTAACTCGAGGACTGGACAAAACCCCGCTGAGTGCTGCCGGGGAAATGAGCAGATTTGAGATTGGGGCATTCCCCGCTCTCCTTCCTTCCCTCGAGTCCCTCCTCAGACGGGAGGTCAGGGTGCAGAGCAGAGGGAAAGCCCCCAGGGGTCCATCTCCCTGGACAAGGAGCTCTAAGGCCCTTTACAGCGCCTCCCAGCCCTCCGTGGCGCCCTCTCTAGCCCGTTATTTCACGGCTCCCCAAAAAGTCATTCACTCCGACTTCAACTACTCGGGTGAGAGAGAGAGGGAGAGAGCGAGCGGGCGTGCGAGTTGCAGCTGTTGGGTTGGCCCGCTGAGCCCTCCCGGGCCGCAAGGGACCCTTACGGAGCGCCTCAGGAGGGCTGAGCGCAGTGGCGACCGGACTCGGGTTACCTTCTCGCGCTGGTCCCAGCTGTACTGCTTGGGTCGCTCCTCTTCGCCCTCGGGCTGCGACTCCTTCTCAGCCTTCCGCCTCTTGGAGAAGAAGCAGCCCATGGTCCCGGCCCGCGGGTCTCTCTGGCCGCTACTGCTCGCTGGCCCGCTCGCTCAGGCACCTCCTGGAGTGTGGCGTGGACCCCGGACGCCAGGGCCCCGGAGATCCCCCGACACTGCCGCGCGGAACCGCCCAACTGCCCGCAGCCTCGGTCCGCCCGCCAGGCCCACCACCCCTTCTCTTTTTCCTGTCTGTCGCCCTGACGACCCACCGCAGCCAATGACCACTCAGCGCTCGATGAGCCAATCAAAGCCCCGCGAGCAGCACTGCGCGGCCTATGAAGGGAGGTCGACGTACGCACCCAACCAATCCACGCCCGGCTTCTGCGCCAGCCCCCCGCCCTGCCCCGCCCCTCCTAGGACTTGGTAGGGCTGTCCTGCTGCTGGGAGTGTCGCCTTGAAGTCCCGTCCTTCTACGTTTGGTTCTCAGTTAAGAAGGTCTAGGCGCGGGAGGGATCCGTGGTCGAACATTAGACTTCAGTTTTATGATGCAAGTGGTGAGGGAACAGGAATTGCTGCTGACACGGGAAGGGGCCCTGAAATTCGTAGTCCTCACTCCTCTTCCCTAATCACCCATCCTCGGCCCTTACGTCGTCGTCTGGCCAGTGTTGCCCCCTCAGGGAACTTCCCCCAACAGCCTCCCCGACCCTCTTTGCCCTCTCTTATGTGCTTTCTTAATACTTCCACGTATCACTCTAAAATTGCACAAGTACTTAGTAAAATAATTATTTGTGTATCCTCTCCCTTTGGGAACTGTGAATTTCTTGAGACCAAAAGGCCTATCTTAGATGGCATGTACCTTTGAATTCCCTAGGCCTGGCCCAACTCCATTCAAGGTACTCCATAAAACGTTTGTCAAATGAATGTGTGAATGAATGCTTGCACACTAGTGAAGGAAGCATTTATAACCTTTTTCATATTTTCAAAGAAAGTGACTAAAGTGTGTGTGTGGAGGAGAGGGGTGGAGTTATGGTAAAGGGGTTCTCCTCATAATGTTTATAGCCCAGTTGAGGACATAAGCATTGCATATAAACCATCAGATCTGTTCTAAGCAAATGGTATAGGATTTGTCTGAAGATATTAACAAATATACACACTAAATATTCACATTTGTTATACTGGAGCTGAATTGACTACAGTACACATGCTTATGTGTACTGCTTATGTAGTAGAAAAGGTAAATTGTTGGTTTAATTCTCTGAGCACAGTACTTTGACGTCTTGGTAGGACATCCAATGCTGATTGGTTCAGGTTCAAATTTGGTTATCTTTTTACTTTCCCACACTTAATCACATCTAGTGTGTTTCCTAAATGAGTCTCTGACTTAACTTGAGCATTAAGAATGTTCCCTTTTTTACTTCCCGTCCTTTATTGCAGAATCAGGAAGAAAAGTGCATGTGCTCAAGTATTAGAAATTACTGCAAATTTAAGTTCCAGATCTTAGGCAATAGAGTCTTTACCCAGTGCACACTTTTTCTTCTTCAGAGTGAGATGAAAGGTCTATGTGAGGATGTTTTGGATAAGACCCTTAGATATTTTATAGTCATAGAATGTTAAAATTGTGACCACCACGTAGTACAGTGGAGGAAACAGAGGTCCACAGAGATCAAGGGACTAAGCTGTGGTCACAAAGAGAGTGGCTGAGCAGGGACTAGAAAAACTCAGAGCCTGTGTTGTCCAGTGCTCCCTCCTGCCCTAAATTTGTTCCTCTGATTCATCTGAAATAAAGAAGTATCTGCTTAGGCCTTCTGACACCTATGGGATCCTTGTCCCACAGTGATGCTGTTCCTCTTAAAGAACAAATAACAAAACTAATTTTAGAGAAACAATCCCTAAAACTCTCATAGTTTTGAAGTATTCATTAATGAAAAACTCAAACCTAAAACAACCTCTATATCCAACAGTGATCTTTTCAGGGATCCTTAAACAAATGTGAAGATAAAGTCCCCTTTATTAAATCCTATCCCACCATCACTCTCGACCAAAAATAAAATAAAGGAAAATTTAATTTAATTTTAAAAACTGGGGACTAGAAAGCCAATGAACAGAGCTAGTGCTAGAACCGTCTTATGCTCTTTCTTTCTCTCACTCTTCCTCTTCCTCCACCCCCACCCCCCCCACCCCTGGCCATGGATTCTCATCACTACTTTTTCTGCAAACCAGCTTTCTTTACTTCCATACTCATCAGCATATACGTGGCTGAGAACAGCCATCCAGCCCTGATTCCTCATGCCTTTCTGTCTGAGTGCCTGCTACAGTCTCTTTATATCTTAGCTCAGATTCTCAAAGGGAGATAACTAGATAAATTGCTGGCAGATCGAGAATAGAATGGTTACCCATCGGTCAAGTGTACACCCCTGGTCTAGTTGCTGCAGCCGCAGGGATCAGCTCCATATTACAAACACGGATGGGGAGCAGCTCCTGAAAGGGAACGTGCTGGCAGCTCTAACTCCACAGAGTCCAGGCAAAAGTCGGTTGCTCCTTCTCCCTGTACCCCTCCTGCTACTTATACTCTTGTGACTTCTTTTCTGTAGAAAGCTGCCTTTCACGTTCATCTGAATAGATATATTCATCTATATTAAAAAGTTGTGTTGTGGATTTGCACCTGACCACAGGCTCTGGAGATGGTCTGGGTCTCCTGTGTGACTTGACCACAGAAGTGACATAGTTGCCCCTCAGAAGATAGTCCTGAAGAAGTATATCTCCACAGCATGAATAAGTCAGTTACCCCAGCAACAATGGCTGGAAAGGTCCCTATTCTTGAGTTGACCTGACACATGCTTGCTCACTCCTCACTCACCTAAGGAGACACTTTACATAAAGCAAGTGAAGGAGAAGGAAGGGAGGAGTCTTTCTGTTATTTATTGCTGCCTAACAAACCATGTGCAACTTAATGGCTTAACACAATGATTATTTATTTTGCAATTTATTATTATTGCAATTTATTATTTTGAATCTGCAATTTAGGCAGAGCTCAGTGGGGACAACTCAACTCTGTTCCATGCTACATCCAGCGCCTCAGCTGGGATGACTCGAATGGCTGGGGGACTGGCCAGGAATCCTTCCATAGAAATCTCAGTTCCCCACTTTGTGATCTCTCCAGCAAGGGGCCTTAGGGCAGTCGGAATTCATATATCGTGCTGAGGGCTCCAGGAGCGAGTGTTCCAAGAGACCAAGGCAGAAGCTGCAGGGCCTCTTATGATATAGTCTCAGAAGACACGCAACATGCTTCCACTGGATTCTATTGGTCACACAGGGCTGGCCCTGATTCACTAAGGGAGGGGACTAAACAAGGGAACGAATACTAAAAGACACAGATCTTTGGGGTATCATCTCAGAGGCTGGCTACCACAGCGGGAGTCAATTCTGTCAGTAGTGTTACATATGTACTGAAGAAGAGGATTGGAAGGTTAAAAAAATTGTACAGGCAAATAACTTTTTTTTTTCCTTTAAAAGATTTCTGAGGGGGGTGGCCCCGGTGGTGTAGTGCTTAAGTTCGTGCATTCTGCTTAGGCGGCTGGGGTTCGGGGGTACGGATCCCGCATGTAGCCCTACACACTGCTCATCAGGCCATGCTGCGGTGGCATTCCATATACGAAATAGAGGAAGATGGGCACAGATGTTAGCTCAGGACTAATCTTCCTCAGTAAAAAGAGGAGGATTGGCAACAGATTTTAGCTCAGAGCCAATCTTCCTCACCAACCAAAAAAAAAAAAAAAAGATTTTTGAGCCAAAATCTCTTCTTATACTTTAGCTTTTACGTAGTTCTTACTGATTTTCTTTCACAATCTTATTGACCAGTTGTAATTATTTTTAAAAGCATCAAAAATTGCCTATAATCAGATTATAAAGACTGTATATTGTTCCGACTGCTCCTAGCATGAGGTATCTTATTCAGAGTTGTTGGTAAAATTCTTAATGTAAGCCAAGTAAAAGATATTTGGAAGTTAGTACAGAAGAAGAATAACAGGGGAAACAGACTTCTCCCTCTGATGGGGGTGGCGAGGGTTGAAGAGTCAAAAAGGCTTCTCAGAAGTGAATGGCTTTAGCAGCACAAAATAAAAATAATTCTAGTAACTTTTCACAGTAAAGCAGTTCCAATGGAAACTATTTTAAAAAATATTTTCTGGACTTAAAAAAATGTTTTTTTATGTATGTGTGTGTGAGGAAGATCAGGCCTGAGCTAACGTCTGTGCCAATCCTCCTCTTTTTCTGAGGAAGACCAGCCCTGAGCTAACATCTATTGCCAATCCTCCTCCTTGTTTTCCCTTTTTCTCCCCAAAGCCCCAGTAGATAGTTGTACGTCATAGTTGAACATCCTACTAGTTGCTGTATGTGGGACGCAGCCTCAGCATGGCCGGAGAAGCAGTGCGTCGGTGCGCACCGGGATCCGAACCTGGGCCGCCAGTAGTGGAGCGCACGCACCTAACTGCTAAGCCACGGGGCCGGCCCCCTAAAAAAAATGTTTTTCAAGTGGAATTTCCATCTTCCAAATAACCATTTCAATACTTTTCGGGAAAGGGACAAACTGTGACAGAACTAAAACCACAGAGCTAATCAGAGTATGTTCATAAAATTTGTTTTTATCCTCAGGATTTTATTAATAAAAGAGAACTACTTCTCATTTCACTGAAGCTAAATGAGAGATTACATTTCCTAGTTTCCTCTACATATGTAGACCAAAAATAAGCTCTCAATCTGACACCTAGAAGATCCCAACCCACATAATTGCTAGTTGGCAACATTTGTATAGTATAAAATTCCAAAATAGTGAAAAAGAAAGATTGGGCAAGATAACTGATGCCACAAGGCAAAAGTTTTAGTAAAATGATATTTAATAACATTTCCTAAATCTTACACAAGAAACTGGTTGATATCATATAGATGACCAACACTTAAGCAGGCCTGATAGTTCCTGGGACTTTTAAGAATACAATTTCTTTCCTACTCACACTTTTCCCCCTCCCCTGGTTCCTAACAAAAGCAAACAAAAGTCAGGGCTCATTCTAGACAAAATCTTCCCTGAGAGCTGCGCTGCTAGGTTTTGTCCGATTCCCACCTCCTCGCCTCCCCACCACAAACACCCAGCTGCACAGGGCATTCTAAGACCAGGATAAGAAAGTGAATCAGCGAGGAAGACATCTCTTTAGCACTTCTTTCATGCATTCACTGATTCTTGTGG